CTGGAAATGTACACAGACACACACACACACACACACACACACAAAACGACAAAAGTGATTATAAGGGCAATCCTAGCGGAGCAGATCGCCAATGATATCTCAAACGTGAATATTCGTGGTGTATTTTAAGTCTAACCGGCCCATAAGTTGGAATTCGTTAGTACTCTAAATATCCAAATATATTTTAGTGTAAGGTAGTAATAATATGTAATAATTAATTTTAAATTCATGATTATAAGGCATGCTGTATCTTCATACTTTTTGTGAATATTTTCTGCAGTGTTTTTGGGTTCTTAGTGACAGCTCTGTAAATTTGATGTGTAGTGCAAACTGAGTTTCTGTTTCATTTACTTAGGTTCGAATACATTAGGTAAAACTTGATAATCAGAAATCAGGAATCTGAATTTAACAAATCAATTATTCTGAGCATGCTCAATTGCTCTGTCAGTGCAGTAGAGAGAGGTAATTTTGGATGAAAATCTTGAAAAAGACCCACTTAGGATTTTCAGACCTAGAAAAATTTTTTCATGCATATGTAACAGACTTGTTCATCAACCTGCCAAGTTTCATTGACATCTGCTGCACAGGCTTCACCTGAACAGGGACTACCAGGGCCACCAGTTGGCCATTTTGAATATCTATAACATGATGTAAAATGGATATATAAAATTTGAACATAATCATTCAAAGCATGGCAGAGATGATGTACATATGTATAATATTATGTATGATGTATGTGTGAAGTTTGATTGTGATTGGTCCAGCCAGGCATGTCTAAGACGCATGCACGTTCACACACACGCACAGGGACTAATTAACATCACCGTGGAGACCATTAAGATGAGGCTAACCATGCTAAATATAATAAAAGCTCTAGGGCCTGATAACATCATCCAAGAGTCTTAAAAGAACCTTGTCCTGTTTTAGCACAACTTCTTTTTCTTATATTCAGTATATGGGTAATTTCCTATCAGATTCATAGAGGTACATGCCTATTACAAACAGGACCATTTAACTACAGGCATGTTGTTTATCATATTGTCTGCAAATTAAGTAAATCTGCGTGATGACACAAATAACCTGTTCCCCAAGCACACATATGTCTTCCTACAGGGTGAATATCATGCATTACCCATCTTCTGGATGTTATTGAGAATTGGTCGGATATTGTCATGTTAAGCATTTTGATTGTTATCATTCGAAAACATTTATTGCATTATCATAGTTTTCTTAAATACTGTGTATGAGTATTTTTTACATATTTGACAGACATACAATTTTTTGCTTTAAACCACATCTATAAATAGACATGTTGTTGACATAACTGCGAACGTGATAGAACATCACTTTATTACGTAGATCTATGTTAACTTTCGGCCAATTCGGGACATTCACGTCTAGGATTTCAGTATCCTACCAAGCCTATAAATAGGACGCCCTTCTATTTTAGCACCAGTCTTTGCTGCTGTGCTTAAAGCTTGTATAATTTTTGTTCATGTATTACTAACTTTCTGGTAAGGTCTCTGGTATATCAATGGATATACTCTATTGATGTAATAAACTATTCTACGTGTTTATTACTTACGCCTACATTACTAGTGATTGATTTATTTATTTGCATTTCTTACCGATTTTGGATATAACCCAGTCACGAATTATAACCCCACAGATATATGATATATAAGGTGAACTTTAGATTTATGACATCGCAGGAAATCTTTTTGCAGATGATACTATGTTATATTAAGAAAATCGATGTACTGATGATTGCAAAAATCTACAGAACTTGCCCAGAAACAAGAAAATTTGCTTTTATTTGAGCAAGTTCATCATTGATAAAATACCCATCTGTTAAGCCAAGATTTGATTCAAATGAACAAAGTCTTTCAAGATATGATGCTTATCTACTCCTTTGGGAGAACAGTTTTTATATTTTCCTTCCCTGTCAATCAAATATGCCGCCATGCCAACATCTCTAGCAGCTTTGTAATCCAGATCCACATTATCACCAACATGTACGCTTTGCTGTGGCTTCACCCCTGCTTTCTTCATGGCTATTTGGAATATTTCAGCATTCGGTTTTGCTGACTGCACCTCAGAAGATAAAACAACAACAGGGAAATATTTCAAAATGTCAAAACCTGTATGTAGAAGATCAGGTAATCTTTCATCATTGTTTGACACAATTCCAAGAAGAAGACCTTTTTTCTTTAATTTAGGAAGGGTATCCTTTACATCTGGAAATAGCTCCCAGCAATTTGGAGTTGAAAATTCCTTGTATAATTTTTCCAGCACTGGTTCCATTTTAGTTTCATCATAATCCTTAGCAGTGTCCATAAAACTTCTTTGCATGACCAGTTTCCACCAGTTTTTTGTTGACAGTGTCCCATCTGTACATCCAAAATTTGGATGCTCCCTACTCATTTGTGCATACTGAATATAAAATGCATCTGTTAGTGATGCTTCATTGTATGACTGAATTCCAAACTGCTTAGCCACTCGGTTATAATGATGGCCAACAGAAAATCTGATTTTAATTAGTGTTAATGTTGCATCAGTGGTGAGAAGTTTAAATCTTGAGGAAGCCATGTGTATTCTGGAAGAGAGAAGCATTTTATATTTAAAGCAAGGGAGTCGTCACCTGCGCATGCGTCAGATGGCCATAGCGTGTCATTGTTCACAAACAAGTATCTACCCATGAGCCTTTGCGTTTTTAGCGTGTGTTGTTATTGTCGCTTGGGATTCAATTTCCGTGCATGAACAGGTGACGACCCACTCACTTTAACATTACTTGAAAGGAAAAAGTACATATATGTAGTCTCATCTGTGATTATATTACCAATAATGCCAAAAAAACAACAACTTATGTTGCCCTCAAGTCGGAAAATTGAAAAATTGGGTCGGTCGGTCGGATTTTTTTTAAAAAACTCAATTTAAAGTTTAATAGTTGATCCAGCTTTTGCTGTCATGCACACAGCAAATGTTCCATGTATGCTACCGCTGTACACATGTACATACACACGTTTAAATAAAATACAAAAATTTGCAGATGCAGATGTTAGCACGAACATTTCGTAGTTACAGGGGATTTCGCACTAATACCTCCATTTCGCGATTTTTTAAATTTTATTTAAAAACAAATTAATCAGCCAACTGTGCCAGTCTAGTACACACGATGACAAACCCGGAAGTGAGAATACTGACAGCGCTAAAACAAAGTGCAAAAGCCATTGTTTTGTTTGTGATGTAAGCGGATGAGAGTTTCAATGTCACGTTTTGTAAATTCAATAACATTTTGTGCATTTCATATATTAATCAAAGAAAGCTTAGAAAGAACTCCCGTGTGCTGAGAGTATTGGAGACACATTAAAATTAATTCAAATTCAGATTTGCTTTCAAACGAGAAGCTTGGCAACTAATTTTTGTCTGCTATTTGAGATGCATAACATGAAAAAAATGTGATCCACATTAATTATCAAAATTTATAATACATAAATACATAATACATCCATGGTTTTTAGTCTAATTTATTCCAGAGCACCTCTGCGATGAATTCAATTTAAATCTGATTTTTCTAGATATTAGAAATGGGCTAATAATAGATAATCAATATGCAAGTTTATCAATATTAAACTAATCATGTCTGTGGATACCTCAATGAACCAAATGAATTATTATAAAAAACAAAGCAATTATTATGCATAAATTTAGGTCTGTATATTGTTTCAGGGCGCACATGTACAAAGTTTCATTAAAATGTAATGGGTAATCCTAACTAAATTAGTGGAAAGCTGAAAAGTAAATTATTATGCAAATTAGGTTATTATTATAGATGTATATGAACCTAAAACTAATTTGATCATCACATTGTGTTAGAGTACATATGTACCAAGATTCATTGAATTAAGATAAGTACTGTCACAGACCATCTATGTACAAAGTTTTATTGAAATGTGATTAGAACCAAAAATTATGATTTATTATGCAAATTAGGTAATTAATATGATCTGATTTTAATTAAAAAATGAGTGGGTCTGTGCATTGTTCTGGAGCATCAATGTACCAAGTTTCATTGAAATGGAATAATTAGTACATGTGACATCAGTGTAAAAGCTGAAAATTGGCTAATTAAGCAAATTAGGTAATTAACATGCACTGATTTTAACCCAAAACTAATCAGGTCTGTGCATTGTCCTAGAACATCCACGTACCAAGATTCATTGAAATGGGATAAGTAGTACTTGCGATATCAGTGTAAAAGCCAAAAATTAACTAATTATGCAAATTAGTTAATTAATATGCACACATTTTTACATAAAATTAATCAGGTCTTTGGATTGTTCTAGAGCATCTATGTATCAAGTTTTATTGAAAAGTAATGAAGTAATAGTACTTGAAATATCAAAAGCTGAAAATTGATTAATTATGCAAATTAGGTAATTAATATTTCATATATCTGTCATCGTCCTATGTATGTTTCATTGAAATGTGATGATTAGTACCTGACTAATCATTATGCAAATTAGGTTAATTATATGCATGGATTTTTACCCAAAACTAATCACATCTGTGTATTAGTTCAGAGCATTTATGTACCAAGTTTTATCAAAATTTAATGAATGGCTCTTCAGATATCAGTGGAACAGTCAAGGAAAATTAGCTAATTATTATGCAAATCAGGTAATTAATATGCATGGATTTCAACCAGAACCTGATCAAATCTGTGCATTAGCCCAGAGCATCAACACACCAAGTTTCATTTATAACCAACATATAGTTCTTGAGATATCTGTGGAACGGACAGACACACACACACACACACACACACACACACACACACACACACACACACACACACACACACACACACACACACACACACACACATACAGACAGACAGAGTAACTGCAAAGACTCCCATGGCGTGCTTCGCACACAAGAGTCAAAAATTATATTTACAACAACAAACGTATTGTTTTTTATTTAAAATAATGTTTTTATTTAAAAAATACTTGGTGCGGCGATATTTTTAATATTGTGCACCAACTATCCGTCGAATCGCAAATGACAAAATGGCCTGAAATGCAAAAGATGTGTTTGCTCTTCAGACTTCATAGTATCCGGAACATGTCAGAGAAATACAGATCAATCCAAGGTTCAAAGTCGCCACTTAACCCCCAGAGACGCTGGGGAACAAACAACGGCCCGGGGTCGTTAATTTTTAGAGGAAACATTTTTTTACTATTTAAAATGGTGAGTTTTTAATATTTGGGCCTAAAAAAAATGCGACCTGATATTTCATATTTTTCGGTAGGTCGCTGAGGGCAACAAAAACATTTTTTTTTTGGCCTAATAATAATAATAATAACTTTATTGCCTCAATGTAAAAGATTTACATAGGATAAGTACAGCAAAAACGAGTATTGAAATAACAACAACATATATGTAAAAATATTATAAATCAAAGAAAGCTTAGAATGAACTCCTGAGTATGCCGAGAGTATGTGCTGATGTATTGAAGACACATTAAAAATTAATTCAAAATTACTTGTACTTGAGATATTGATGGAATAGCTGAAAACTAATTAGGTAAATCAGGTATGAGCAGATTTGAGTGTAAAACGAATAAGGCCTGCGTAATGTAATATCTATGTACCAAGTTTCATTGAAATGTGATTAGAACAAAAAAACTATTAATTATTAATTAAATGAATTATTATTAGAGAACAAATTTCAATCAAAAATTATTCATGTAGCAAATTTTATTCAAATGTTATGATCATTAATTGAGATATCAGTGTTAATTAATTATGTTAATTAGATGATTAATAAGCATAAATATTTACCAAACACTAATTGGGTCTCTGCATTGGCCTAGGTTCATTGAAATGTGATGATGAATACTCTTTAAAAGTTTCATTAAAATCCAAATATTGTTTTTTTATATATCAGTGGGACATTCATGGAAAAATTAACTAATTATGCAAATTAGGTAATTAATATCCACAATTATTTACCCGAAAACTAATCAGGTCTCTGCATAGTCCTTAAGTAACTATTTACCAAGTTTCATTGAAATGTGATGATTACTACTTGAAATATTAAAAGATGATCAAAGAAAGCTTAGAAAGAACTCACATGTGCTGAGAGTATTGGAGACACATTAAA